CGACTTGGCTACAACTGATGGCTCAACGAAGTGGCTTATCACGTGGAAATTCTCAGGTTTTTGGCAAAAAATATTTTAGCATAATTTGTTTACATGTGGGTGAGTAATGTTCATCCTGTCTCCCAGACACTTCACTTTATTTGCAGATATATAGTATGGGCACGGGGTCAGAACGTTACAACAACAAATACAATAATCACAAACATAATAGGAGTGCAAAGTGTCGGTAAAGTAAATTAATTACTCAAACAATATATGCAAATAAAACGATACTATATTTTTTTCTTGCCATGTAAGGCCCTCTGAGCTACGGAGCTTCCTTTTGAGCAGCGACTTGGCCACAAATGATAGCTCAACGAAGTGGCTTATCACTTGAGAATTTATAGCAGCACAAATACGGTAATCTAAATAATCTAGACGTATGTTGTATCGGAAATGCGGGGAGAAGGACAAAACACGAAACACAAAAGCAGTTCTAAAATGAGTTTCCAATTTAGTATAGTGGTGTTGCATATAATAGTGTAGTATAGTTGTGTAGCGATTAGTGTAATGTATAGTAGTGTATAGTATAATGTGCATAGCGTGTATAGTAGAGTATTGTAGTGTATCGTGCAGTTATGTACGTTTAACTTATTTCCCAGCGTATGTAGCCAACCGTGCTAATCGGAAGCGTGGGAGAATAACAACAAACTAAACACAATTTTGTTTTAATATATAGAAATCAATTTTCTATTTACAATATATGCCATTTATAGCTCTCTGTGTGATGAGTCTATGGGTCTCTGTGTGGTGGTTAGTCTATGGGTCTCGGTGTATTGAGTCTATGGGTTTGTGTGTGCTGACTCTATAAGTCTCTGTGTGATGAGTCGATGTGTCTCTGTGTGGAGAGTCTATGGGTTTCTGTGTGGTGAGCCTATGGGTGTTGTTGAGGCTGGTGAGATGCATGCTCAGGTGTTGAAGCAGAACCACAACTGGCTACTTAGTTCCTCTTTTATGTTCTCGTGTTGACACAGATAACATTCGAACTAATTCTAGGCTGAGTCATCCTCGGCAAGGTCTGGAGGTCAGTTGCCAGAATAGTTGTCTGTGCTCACGAGCCTGTGTTTAGTTTGTTATGGTGCCAAAGAAGTTCAACATACATACACTACACTATACGCAACAATACATACTACACTATTTTATACGATACACTACACCACTATACTAAATTGAAAACGAATTTCTTTAGAACTGCTTTTTGTGTTTAGTTTGCTGTCCTTCTCCCGCACCTTGGCCACGTACGGTGCCAAAGAAGTTCAACACATTCTTTACAGGCGGCTCTGGCGAGGAGAGTCATTTCAGACACTCTGCATTCGCTCGTTGCACGAAAAACGTCTGACGTGCAATGTCGCTCGGATGCAGTGAGCACGTGAGCGTTGTTCACTCGCCCACTCCAAGAAGGGTGGACGCCTGTCCAGGTGTCGAGGTGTAAGGCCCCACGACTGAGCTACATAACTCTTTTTCAGACGCGACCACGTGGCCATCACAAATGATAGCTCGGCATATCGTGTGGACATTTATAGCAGTCAAATGATAAGCTAATACCTCACTGGGCTTCACCGGGAAATATAAATTAGTTTAGTTGTATTTGCTTGCAAATTCCATCTCTAGCCCCGCCCACTTACCCTTGGGTTGTACCCACATCAAAACGTATATAACCTTTGGTTGCAGTAGCTCTCTCGCTACATTCCTTAATGCCTCAGCAGTTCGCCTGCTGTATTGTTTCACCTGAAGACGATTGCTTGTGTTGCGATCGAATCGTCATAATCTATTAGTTATTTTTTATATCTTCGTGACTTTACCGAAATAACCAAAGAGTATGAATTCCTGCAGTCACGAAAGCTTCAAATAAAGATTTAGTTGTATTTGTATATTTAGTTTAAGCGATTTTCTTACCATTCCTATACTTTGCACTCCTATCGTGTTTGCATGTATTGTGTTTGTTGTTGGAACGTTCTGACCCCATGCCTGTACTGGACATTTGTGAAAAAAGAGCTTTATAGCTCATCGGATTCCTCCTGTAGTATTTAATACAGATTCTGAGTTGGATGGACACACTGCTGTAGATCAATGCTGCGTCTTAACCTGGGTTTCATCTCGCACCCACTGGGGGTGCGAGATGCCCTTTCTGGGGGGTGGTGCGAGACATGGCCAGATTCTTTCTCGAAGGTAAATCATCGAAACCATACATGAAGCACGGGCCACATTAAGTTACAACTTACTTTGTTTTTTTCAAATCCGATGTGTTTATTAACATTGTACACTTTTTGTAACGGTTGCGACCCAGAGGGGTGCCAGGTTGCGGTGAAGGTTAAGGACAACTGCAGTCGATGGACGCGCAGATTCAAAAACACAGATGCATACCGGACTGCTGAAGGGGCTTGGTCACCAGCACCACGTCCGGCCTTCTTTGTTTCTCCAGCACTTATGGCCATACCCCACTGCACATACACATTTAAGGCTGAGTTTACCTAGGGGAGGCCCATGACCAGTTCTGTTATCACTCGCCACTGATGCTGGCCCTAGACAGGAATTTAACTCAGGTTTCATAGTGTGGAGTACTAACCACTATACAGACAAAGATCACCCCGTATAACCTTAACAGGCCGGTACAGTGGCACACGAGGGTGTGGATGGCCAGGACCACGCCCGGCCGCCTTTGTCTCCCTAGTTGTGATGTTTACTACACACTGCTACACCAGGTACTCATTTTAGGTTGAGTTGACCTAGGGGAGTCCCAGGACTGATTCAGATAATCGTCGTCACGCACACTCACTGCCCATAGACTCAATACTGCCAGTAGACTCAACACTGCCTGTATGGGTCTACGAGTTTCTGTGAGTCTCTGTGGCTCTCTGTGAGTCTTGATGGGTCTCTGGGTCTCTGTGCATCTCTAAGGGGTCTGTATCGCAATGTGTCTCTATGAGTCTCTTCTTCATTCGGACGGCTGCTGATGTAGATGCAGAGCAACAATCAAAATGTCACATTTAGGTGGTCAAGCCAGATAACAACTGCGGCGGGAGTAGCAGAGTGTATCATCTCTGTGGCGGGTCTATGAGTTTCTATGGCATTCTATAGATCTCTATGGATTTATAGGTCTCTGAGCCTGGGTCTACATGAGTCTCTGGGTCTGATTCTCCACAGATCTCTGTGAGTCTCAGTGGGTGCCTACGAGTCTCTGTGAATCTCTATGGGTCTCGGAGTTTCTTTGTGTCTCTATGCATCTCTATGGGTCTCTGTGTGTCTCTATGGGTCAGGATCTCTATAGGTCTCTATGAGTCTCTTCATCTTCGGGACAGTTGATGATGTACATGCAGAACAACAACTACAACTTCTCATTTAGGTGGTAATTCCAATATAACAACCGCAGTAGTGGTGTGGTGCATTATCATAGCTCTGTCTCCTTCGTATCTGTGGATCGGGGCGTTGTGTCGTTCTACTACGGTCCTTTCTGGATGACCACAGTCGCACACAACTGCTGAATGAAATAGCAGTGAGCCCACAGCGCGTTTCCGAACGGATTTTCGCAGTTTTCAAGAGCGTCTGGCCTCGCTGCAGATTTGGCCAACGTCCCGCGTTAAACTATGGCCACCTTTTTTCGAGTGGAATTTCGATTCATTGTTTTTTCGACAGTTTTTTTGTTTTCATTCCGGAGTGGTTTTTTTTATGGCATTCGTCTTCGTTTCCGTTTTTTTTGTCTGATACTTGTGTGACGTGCCTCGTGCACCTATTTCCGTGCCACGGAAGGCAATGGTTAAATAGATAAGTATTGGTGAACTTTAATATGAAGGCTCTCACGACCAATATCCATAATAGAGATTTTTTGGGTTAGATCGCGTACATATAATGTGTCGTTAAACCTGCCACCACCCGACACAACCAATTAGTAAGGTTTGTCACGTAAACAAAATTACCAATTTGTTATGAGTACAGCAAAAATCTGACTGTCGCCTGATGAAGCTAATGTAATTACTGGCAAAACGTCGTACTCAGATTGTAAATGTAGTGGATTTGCTCTCCAACACACCGGTGTGCTGTACTAGTAACGAATAGGCACGTTCTGTTTACGTGACAAAGCTTACTAATTGTCTATGTAGGGTGGTGGCGGGTTTAACGACACATTTATATGTACGCGATCTAACCCAAACTTGTTTGTTATTGTTGATGATAATTTGACATCGAAGAGAATTTCACCACAACTCTTTCCCCACGCATTTTGTAACAAAGACCAAACTCCATCGAAAAACCTCAACAGGCTGTTGGGGCAAGTACTGTTAGCGAGAAGCAGGACCTATGAAGGCCGAAACTGTGGCACACGAGGGGGTGGGTGGCCAGCACCACGGGAGGGCCGCCTGGCCCCCATTTTTTTACAGTGGCGATGTTGACTCCACATCGCACCAGGTTATCATTTGAGGCTGAGTCAACCTAGGGGGGGCAGGACCATGCTCAGATAATCCTCACCAGTGGTGGTGGTGACTGTGAGCGGGGAAATCGTACTTGGGTCTCTGCCAGGTTGTTAGCGCAGCACAGCGCTAACAACGACTGAAAGGCCACATTTAGATACACCTATCGGTCACCGTCAGCGAAAAGAAGAAAGTAAATTATTGTTTTCACACTTTGATACGAGCAAAAACTTCCATTTTGTATCTGCTCACCCCGAGCTATAAATGCTCTGATACTTGCATTGTCTTTGTACTGTTCGTATTTTGACGTTGTCTGATCTAACAAATAAGGCTGTCTCTGGTGGAGGCCAATCAGTTTAAAAGACAATGCATATATTATCAGAGCAGGTTTTTTTGCATGTTTAAGTAAGTGTGGTTAATGCGGTACTTGATTCCTTGCAAAAGGTTTCTATTAGGTGTTTGAACATCTTAACACAACTCCTGTTTTATTGCCAGAAAGGGTAAAACACCTATTCTTATTTTATAAAGTTGTGTTGTGCCTGTCTCCTTGTGACTCAGCAATGGAGAGGGTGCTGGCGAGAAGCGAGCACTCGCTGGAGCTCAACGAGCAGGAGTACCCGCTGCAGGTGCGTCGGGCCGGCCACGAGTGTCTGGTAAAGCCCAAACCCATCGGACCTGCTGCTGTGAAGGTGAAGATGACAATAATCAGAATGAGAATCATCAGAATATTTATGTGTACTGCAGGAGGAGGAATCCGATGAGCCATGAAGCTCTTTGTTCACAAATGTCCAGTAGGGGAGTACGGGGTCAGAATGTTACAACACGCATAACACTCACAAACACGACTGGGGTGCTATTGTGAACCCCACCCACACGGCCATTGTGAACCCCAAACATACGGCCATCCTGAACCCCACCCATACGCCATTGTGAACCCCATCCGCACGGCCGTCGTGACCCCCACAGATATGGTCATCGTGAACCCCACCCACATGGCCATCGTGAATTCCACCAACAGCCATTGTGAACCTCACCCACATGGCCATCGTGAACCACACCCACACGGCCATTGTGAACCCCACCCACACGACCATTGTGAACCCCACCCACATGGCCATCGTGAACCCCAGCGATATGGCCATTGTGAATCCCACCTACATGGCCATCGTGAACTCCTCCTACATGGCCATTATGAACCCAACCAACATACACATAAAATTAAACTAATTTTTTTCTTGCCAGATAAAACCTACTAAGGTATTAACTTCGTTTTCAGAAGCGCTTTGGCCGTAAATGATAGCTCAACAAAGTGGCTCATCATCACATGGAAATGTATAGCGGCAAAATAATCTAAATAATCTAAATGTATGGCGCCCGACTGCATGAATGGATTGTGTGACCCGCCATCGTTTTAGTAGTAGTTGAGTTTTCGCTCCCAATGTTATTCACACTAAAATGCATTTTTTGGGTTAGATTGCGTAAATATAAATGTGTCATGAACCCACCCAAATCGCCTGACGAAGCTGGCGAAATGCCGTTAACTTACATTTTAAATGTCGTAGTGGGTTTATTCTCAAAACACAAGCGGTTAGTCTGCTGAACTAGTAACCAATTGACGCGTTTTATTTATATGACAAGCCCGCACTGATTGGCTGTGTCGGGCGGTGGTGGCGGGTTTAACGACACATTTATATTTACCCGATCTAACCCAACCAAAACAAACCTTCACCACGAGTGAATTGTTCACCTCCTGGTTCGTCACAAGTTCCTATAAGCGCAAGCTTGCGATTGTGAAATAATTGATCAGTTGAACAACCGCCAACTGTTCTCGTTTAGGTGGAGCCGACTTCTACCAAAACGATGACCCCTGACGTGCGTCCAAAATGTAAGTAAAGCCGTAGGAGAACGTTATTGTAATATGTGTCTCTTACGTGATTTCTTAAACGTCTGTGTGTGTGAGACACTAGGGATGCGATTTGCGTATTTTTGTGTATCTCTGGTCGATATTCATCTTGTGGGTGTAAACCCTCATCAGGCCCGAGTCAGTTATATAAATCACCCTAATTCAGAGCAGGCGTGGCACATCCAGGGCTGTGGGATTTTCATCGGTCTTCTTAGATGTCAACACGTGTCAATTAAGAAAAACTACACATTTAGAATCGACGTCACGCATTTGGAGTATTTGGCTGCTACTAGAAATGTCCACGTGATGATGATAAGCCACTTCGTTGACCTATCATTTATGATGATGACCGCTTCTGAAAAGACCTACATAGCTCAGTGGGGTCTTACACCTGGAAAAATAGTTAGTTTTAGTTGATATCTTAAGTGCCAAAGCCCCACCATTCAATTAGCAGTGCATTGACAAAGGGAGGGAGCACGTATTATTTACTCTACTCACTTATTAGGATACATATAGAGGGCGGGTGGGACTAATCAGTAAAGTATTTTTTTTTACAAATGATAGCTCAACGAAGTGGCTTATCGCGTGGAAATTTACAGTAGCAGCCAAATAATCTAAACACTTAATGTGGATTCTAAATGTGGAGGGAAAAAAATTGTAGTACCCAGATAAAAAAAATACACGCGATTCCAGGGAGAGAGACGTGCAAACTCCAAATATGTAGCAGGCGTTGGGGTTGGAATGGAACCCACGATCATCTGTATACCAAAATGTAGAATTACATCTTCACCCCAGTCTTATGTAAATTTGCACCATAGAGGTGTTAGGAGTGCCATGGTGGCTGGGAGATGTTAACTACCTCACCTGGCATACAGGAGGTAGTGGGCTCGAACCCGACCCTGACGCCTGCTGTATATTTGGAGTTTGCGTGTTTCTCTCTCCGTGGTCTCGTGGATTTTTCTCCGGCTCCTCCAGGTTTTCACCTCCACATTTAGAATCAATGTGCATTAAGAGTATTTGTCTGCTCTAAATTTCCATGCAATAAGCCACTTCATTGAGATATCACTTGTGGTCAAGTCGCTTCTGAAAAATAGTTGCACAGCTCGGTGGGGCCTTAGCTGGTAAATACATTTTTTTTGTTAAATAGTCTTGCCGGATGACGGTAGTTTGGAACTGCTGGATTCTAATATTTTCAGAAGTGTTGCCATGCCATCCTTTTGGGAGAATTTGCAATGCTGCCGTATGACCAAGCTACATTGCGAGGCTGTCCCCCTGGTGAAATCTGCATCTTACTGAATTGTGTCAATCTTTTATATTTGTGAAGTACCGGTGAGGACGCTTGACGCCGAGGTTGAGGCACACGTATGTTTATTCACAATATGACAGTGGGCATATACACACTCGAGGGGGTATCGGCCCCCTCACCCGTATAACTCGGGATACACCCCTAGCTAACTCTGTCCTAGCCCCGAATCCTCCACTAATGGGCTAGGGGAGGCTAACTGGCCCGACACTGGTAAGTCGGGCCCGGTACCCGGAGTTCCAGACCAGCTCTTACAAGAGCACCGGCTCTGGCTTTCGGGACCACGCCGCTGGCTCAATCCTGTCCGGCCCTGAAAAGGACATCGAACCAGGGGAGTCCAGGGCTCTATCTAAGACGTCTTCAATCTTCTTCCCTTAGCTTAAACATAACTGCCGAGCCCTTTGAAACATCCCCTTTTATACCCAACCCCTCCCTGAGGGGTGGGGCCCCGGGGGATCATAACGTTCGAACCAGCCACCCCCAGGGTGTCTGGCTCGGACGTCGTAGAGGGCACTTGCTCGTGCACTTACGTAGCCCCGCCCACTGTGTTTGTTTTCCATAGGCTGCCATGCATAACGGGCCCTCTCTTTAACACCCCTACATCACCCCCCCCCCCCCCCCCCCGCATAGCTTGCAGCCGTCCCGGCTGCCAACATACAAAAATGACAATAAAAGTGCATTTACACCTTGACCGCGCGTGTGCCTCACTATTTTTCAACAATAACAAGAACAGCAACAAGAACACAACAAAATGCAACAGCAAGAAGAGAAAACAACCCGACGCACCCCCCCTTGAATAAATACGAATTCCGTAAAAAAAACAACCTATATACAATTTGCAGGGAACCCACCATACACACAACACCAGGTGAACCCAACGTATGTACATTTCAATGGGCAGGGAACACACCACCCACACAACACACAATGAACACAACGTATGTACATTTCAATGGGCAGGGAACACACCACCCACACAACACACGATGAACACAACCTATGTACACATCTTCCGGCCTCATAACAGTCTGCGCATTTTTGCGCGCGTCCTTGCAGCGGGCCCCTCACACGGGGTAACCCCGGGTGGCGGACCGTAAGGTGGCAATTGTCCGTCCTGGAGTGAGACCTCATCCGATGCCGCGCGACCGTCGGTATCCCCAGGAGGGGTGGTCGGGCGTGAGCCCGTCAGTCCTGATGCACCTGGAGGTGGCACGGCCGGCACGGCATTAGGTGAGAACGACGGAGACGGACCCAGTGAGTCGGTCGACCCCCCACACGTTTGGCCACGCATGTGTGAAGTGGGTTTGTGTACCGCAACGAAGGGTTTTAACCTAGAGGGGTGCACGAACCATCGCCGCTTCCCCCATTTAATGCGCACGCACTGTGGTCGCAAAACTTCGACCACCTCCACAGGGCCCCGCCACGGCCGCGCCAGCTTAGGGGAGGTAGCCAGGGGCACTTGGGGACAGTGCAACCATGCCTTGTCCCCCGGCTTCCACTGTATTACGTGCGCCCGACCCAGCCTGAGGCGCTCATTCGCCTTTTGACGGAGGTCCGAGTTTAGCATAGCAGCATCCCGCGCCTCTGTTAATTTGGCCAGATTAAATTTGACGTGGTCAGCCAATTTAGTTTTCCCTTGCGGGTCGGGGATCTGCAGCTGGGCGCGAACAGGCGGGTCGGGTTCGCGACCGTACATGAGGTAAAAGGGGGAAAATCCCGTAGCTGCATGGGGTGCCATCCGGTATGCCGCCAAGACCCCTTGAATATGCAGGTCCCAGTCAGTCTGCGAGTCCGAGACCTGCTGTGACATCATTGACGTAATGGTGCGATGCAGGCGCTCGACCATTCCGTCAGTTTGCGGGTGATACGGGGAGGTACGAATTTTCTTCGTGCCTAAGAGGTCACAGACTTGTTTGAGTAATTTACCGGAAAAATTTCTGCCCTGGTCGGTCAGCAGCCGCTCCGGAGCACCTTTGTCCAGGACGTATCCCTGAACAAAGGCCTCCACGATGGCTGCTGCCGACTGGTTGGCAAGGGGCCAGGCCATAGGCCAGCGCGTAAAATACTCGACACCTGTCAACAAATACCTATTGCCCCTGGGGGTGGCGGGAAATGGGCCCAAAATGTCCAGCGCGACAAGCTCATTTATTCTGGATACTTTGATCGATTGCAAGGGCGGGTTAGACTCCCGCGCCGGCGGTTTCCGTTGCGCACACCGAGGGCATGATCCCAATAGATCCCCAACATCCCTCGTCATACCAGGCCAAAAAAAATCAAGTTGTAGCAGTGCAAGAGTCTTTTGGGTCCCCAGGTGTAATAGGCGCTCATGCGCGGCCCACACCACCTTGCCTCGCAACTCAGAAGGGACCACCAGCCGATGTCGCTGGGATTTGCCGTCCCAATGCATCAGCAGACCTTGCACCATTTCCCATGCATCCTAATCACCCTTCACCCGCCCAGCACCCCCGACGCGACGACGCCACCCGAGGAGGGAGGTATCCTCCATTTGGAGGCGCCCCCATTCAGTGACGGGCAACCCCAACAGGGAATCTCTTCCCTGTTGTTCGATCGAATTAGTAACCAATGGTTCGTCGTCGTCGGTGGCTGCCAAGATCGGAACCGATGCGTCCCCTGAAGGCCTGCAACGTCCCGACCCCAGGAGGCATGCACATTCGGAGGTGGTTGGCATGCGCGACAGAGCGTCCGCATTCGTATGGCGAACGCCCTTACGGTAGGTGGTTTCAAAATCAAAGTCCTGGAGAACCTCCAACCATCGAGACAACTGTCCCGATGGTTGTTGAACTCGCAGGGCATACTGTAGTGCCGCATGATCTGTGCGGACGGTGAAATGCCGACCGTACAGATATGGGCGATACTGTTGGATGAAAGAGACAATTGCCAACAGTTCCCTACGGGTGACACAATATCTTTGCTCCGCAGGAGACAACACCCGACTACCGTACGCGACCACCCGTTCCACGCCATCAACCACCTGGGAAAGCACACCCCCAATACCCGTGTTGCTCGCATCGGTGTCGAGCAAAAAGGGCTTAGAAAAATCTGGGTAAATCAAGGGAGGGGCTTTTACCAGGGCGTCCCGAAGGGAGCAGAAAGCAGCCTCCTCCTCTTGACCCCAGTGGAACCGAACCCCTTTAGATGTTAAAGCGTGCAGGGGTTTTGCAATTGTCGCAAAATCAGCGACGAACCGTCGGTAATACGACGCGAACCCAATGAAACTCCTGACCTCTCCCACCGAGGTGGGAGTCGGCCAGGAGCTGACACACTGCGTTTTGGCGGGATCGGTAGCAATACCTGAGCGTCCCACGATGTGCCCCAAATAACGCACCGAATCGCGCAACAAATGGCATTTTTGGGGCTTGAATTTCAAATTAGCAGCCCGCATCTTTAGGAAAACCGCCCGCAACCTCTGGAGATGTTCGTCAAAAGTTTTACTAAAGACGATAAAGTCATCCAAATAAATGAGGCACGACTCCCATTGCAATCCAGCCAAAACCAATTCCATCAAACGCTGGAAAGTTGCCGGCGCTGAGTGTAAGCCCATCGGCAACCGGTTGAATTGGAACAGGCCATGCGGTGTACGGAAAGCAGTTTTAGGCTTTGAATCATCGTCCAGAGGAAGCTGCCAGAATCCCGAAAGTAAATCCAGTGTGGAAAAGAA